ATATAGTTTAAAAAAACATTTTATTTTTTACATGTATAGGTGTATTGCCTGCAAGGGTGTAAGTGCACCCATGTTGTGCAGTGTCTGCAGAGGTCAGAAGGTGTAGGAGCCCCTGGAACTGAAGTTATGGAGGGTTTTAAACTCCCATGTGGGTACTGGGAATTCAACCTGAGTCCTCTGCAAAAGCAGTGAGTGCTCTTAACCGCGGAGCTATCTCTCCAGCCCCTAGTAATAGTTTTTCAAATGGCTGTAAGAGGCTTGGGAGGATTGCTCAATGGTATAGTACTTCCCTAGCATGTAGGAGGCCCTGCCTAGTACTACCCACACAGAGAAAGATAGAAATTTATATTAACCAATAGAATCTGATATCCATGAGGTGGATTTAGTGGTGCAGGTCTATAATCCCAACACCTAGGAGAATGAGGCAGGATTACCAAGAATTTTATGTCAGGAGGAAGGAAAGGAGGGAAAGAAAGAGGGAAGAAAGGGAGGGCTAGGAATTTAGCTCAGTGTTAGAACACTTACTTATGCTTGAGGTCCTGGTTTTGTTACCTAGTGCTGCAGATAAAAAAGAAATAAAAGAATTTAAAAAGGAAAAGAGGCCAGCAAAATAACTCACCTGCAAAGGCACTTGTTGCCAAGCCTGACGACCTGAATTCAGTACCTGGGACTTACATGGTGGAGGGAGAGAATCAACCACCACAATTTGTCTTCCAACCTCCACACTGGGGCCATGGCACTTGGAGGGATGCACACAAAATAAACATAATTAAAATTCTTAAGACATGTGAACTGAGGCAGAGGAGTAGATAAGGAATAGGTACGTACTGATACAAGGTCAAAGTTTGGAAAATCTATACCAAAATGTGACCATATTTGGATGGACTGCACATGCTTTTACATTTTTACCCTCTTTGTTATATTTTTTGTTGCTAAATCAGGAAATTTAATTTTCACTTCTTACCAGTTACCGTCTAAGAATTTCTTTTCCTTAAAGACAGCAGGGTCTCATATAGCCCAGGCTGGCCTTGATCCATCTCCATAGATGATAACCTTGAATTCCTGATCCTCCTGCCTCCACTTCCCAAGTGCTGGGATCATGGGTGTGCACTACCACACCTGGTTTATGTAGCACTGGGGGTGGAACCCAGGGCCTCATGCATGCTACCAATCGAGCCACAACCCTAGTCTCTTTAAGACTTTTTAGAAAGTAATATCTGGTGGCTAAAGTGTAGCTCAATGTTAGAGCACGTGCATACATGTACAAGGAGCTGGGATTTAACCCAGCAACAGACAAATAATTATTCTTCAAAATACACACAATTTGGTTCCTAAATATTGATGTAAGTAGGATGGCTTCATGATCCCACTACCCCCACTCAGAGCCACGGTGGGAGCAATGGAGCCCTGAGGGTTGCCACCCAGCACTTGCCTGAGGTGTCTGTGGTGATGGACAGCGAGCACCTCAGAAGACCAACCTTGTATCCTTGGGTATTCCCCTCAGTACAAGATCTTGCTACATGGCTGTTGGTATGGACTGTTTGGAGGGAGCCCTGATAAGTGTTCTACTGAACTGGATGAGAGCAACCAGGTAACCCTGTCTCAGCCTCTTCTGGGGGAGCAGAGTCTGCTGACACGATGCTCCCCATGCTACAGCTTCTCCAGCAACTCCTCCCCAGACTCTCCCACCAAGTACCCACATCTCTACCCACCCGGCAGGATCATCCACCTGGAGGAAGAGGGCAGCTCCGGGAGGTGAGTGCTGTGGCATGTGGGCCTGCCATGGCTGTCCACTGAAGGTGATCCCTGAGGCCTAACCCAAGTGCGGCTTCACTAGCTGATGTTTTCTTTTGTTCCAGGTTTGGCTGCTGTTCTGCTGCTCAGTACAGGGCAAGGTGGGCAAAGGAAGCAGAATTTGGCAAGATCCTAATAGGCCCAAAGATGCTGATAGACCACATGCCCGACATTGTGACTCGGGCCCTGAACAGTGCAGTTGCCAACAGAGCAGCCTGTGTCTCCTGCCAGGGGCAAGGCAGCTCTGTCAGGGATGTGGCATGACCAGGCCCAGTACCCTTTTGCTTAGATTGACTGTGAATGGCTTCTATGAGGCTGGAATGCTGGCGTCTGTCAACAGTAAGCTCACACGCCTCGGTAGAATGGGCTTTAAAATGACTGCAAGATTTATAGGAACCACTTTTGACTAGAGTATTACTAGGATCAGAGCCTGTGGAGCATGACAAGGTGCTAGACTCCTGGGACAGCTAATGTGGAGGAAGCCCCAGGAGGGCAGGAACCCCTCATTAGACTCTAGGTGGATCTATAGCATCTCCAAACCCCATCAGGGTCTTGTCCTGCTGTTGATGTGAGTCTGAATCTAGACGACAGGTGTGCACTTTATTTTTTTTACCTGCATCGTTCCTCATGGGGGCACTAAGAGCAGCCCTGAGCTCCTCAGCCCAGCGCCCCAGCTCCTCATTTACAACACAAATGAACTGTTTAATTTTCACATTTGCTTAACTCTCATGTATTACTCTAGCTCTTACTCCTCGTGTATGGGTCCAGTTCTGGGGCCAGACAATGGGCTGAAGTGATTTTGTAAAAATAAAGCAATTGCTATACCACTGGTGTCTGCAGAGTAATACCTCCAGGCAGGTCTACTTTACTGCTAAGTAGCCCAGGCTAGCCTCTAACTTGCAATTCCCCTGCCTCAGTCTCCCCAGTGCTGCACATGTGTGCATGTGCCACTGACCCTACTGACTGGTATTTTGTCTTCTGCCTTTTCTACTGTAAACACAAACCAAGTTTTCTTGTCATTCTGGTTAATGACTGAGGATTGCACAAGTCAGATTTAAGCCTGGCAGAAGCCCAGTAAAAAGCAACTTATAAGGATAGGAAAAAGAGAAAAGCAGTAAGACTGCAGGAGAATGAATCCTAAGTGGGAAGCAGAGACTGTCACAGCTCCTGGATGGCAGCTGAGCACCAAGTGGAGGAGACAATGTCTGGTCTCCCCCTGTGAAGAGGCAGTGGGGGGGGGGGGGTGCCAGGGAGACTCAGGGTACTCTGACAAAGTCTTGCTATGTGGACTAAGCTGGCCTCACTCAACCTTGAAGACATTCTCCTGCCTCTGCCTCCTGAGTGTTGGGTTTACAGGTGAGCGCCACCACACCTGGATAGCACAGTTCTGACAAACTTGCAGTTTTTAGTACAATTGTAGTTGGAATGCCATGGCAGAGCTCTAAGCACAGTTCTTGAAATCCCCAGAGCAGAAAGCTAAGGCTGGCACTCAGGTGATGTGTGAGCAAAGGGCTGCCAGGCTCTCACATAGGAGACCAGGAGCAACCAAGTAGGCAGAAGCTCTGAAACCCCAATTTGCTGTTGTGCCAGACAGGACTGCAACCTCAGTACTGCATATAGAGACCCATCGTGGACAAAGGAAGACTCATGAAAGAAAGCCTTCTATGCTGCTAAATTCTGGAGTGAACAGGAAAGGAAAAGATACATTTCCAGATAAGAGTCCACCAACATAGGAAACAACTAAAAAAAGTCAGGTGTGCCAAACACTCAGGAGGGAGTTCAAGGTCATCCTTAGCACATAGCAAGTTCTGGACTAGCTTGGTCTGGGCTACATAAGACCCTGTATCAAAAGTAAACATCCAGAGGGGGTCAGAAAGACAAAAGTGTAACCTCAATAAGACTTCATTATTAAGTACAACTCAGTGGAGTATGGCGGCATATGCCTTTAATCTTAGCATTTGGGAGGTAGCAGCAGATTTCTGGGAGTTCCAGGCCAGCCTGGTCTACACACTGAGACCCTGTATAAATAAATGCACAGCACATCTTAAAATTTCAACAAGAGGGTTGGGAAAATGGCTAATAAAATCCAACAGGCAAGCATGAGGACCTGGGATTAAATCGCCAGAGACTCCCCATAAAAGGGAGGGAGGAGGAAAGAAAAAAAAAAAAGGAAGCCAGCCAGGAAGGCAGAGAATTGCACACCTGTATCCCAGTGCTGGTGAGGTGCAGCCAGAAAGATCTCTGGGGCTTGCTGGTCAGCCAATGTTCTAGTTACTTATTGCTGTGATTAAAAACACCGACCAAGGGGCTGGAGAGGTGGCTCAACAATTAAGAGCACTGGCTGCTCTTGCAGAGGACCAGGCTTGACTCCCAGCATCCACATAGTTGTTATCCCACATAGGGGATAACAACTGTCCGTTCCAGGGGATCCAACACCACCTTCTGACCTCCAAGGGTATATTGCACAATATGGGTGCACTTACACTCATGCAGGCAATACACTCATGCACATTACAAAAAATTAAAAAAAAAAACACCAAAACCAACTTGGGGAAGAAAGGGTTTATTTATCTTTCATTTCACAGCTCATCACAGAGGGAAGCCAGGGCAGGAACCTGGAGCACAGGCCATGGAGGAATGCTGCTTGCTCCTCTGGTCTGTGCTCAGCCTTTCTTTTTTAATTTATTATTTTTATTTTGTGTGTATGAGTGTATTGCCTGCATGTATGTGAGTGCACCTGTGTCGTGCAATGCCACGGAAGTCAGAAGAGGGCTTCAGATTCCCCTGGAACTGGAGTTAAAGGTGGTTCATAGCCGCCATGTGGGTGCTGGGAATTGAACCCGGATCCTCTGGAAGAGCAGTCAGTGCTCTTAACAGCTGAGCCATCTCTCCAGCCCCACCCTGCTTTCTTATACAACACAAGACCACCTGCCCAGGGTTGGCACCACCCACAATGGGCTGGGCCCTCCCATATCACTCAATACTAATCAATCAAGAAAATGCCCCCACAGACATAGGTGCAGTTCATCCAAGGGAGGAAATTCCTCACTTGAAGTTCCCTGTACCCAGGTGACAACTAAAGCTACCCAGCACAGCTAGTCTAGCCAACTGGTGACTTCCAGGTTCAGTGAAGGATCCTGTCTCAAAAATAAAGGTAGGGGGAACCGAAGGGATGGTTCAGTGGTTAAGAGCACTTAAGGCTCTTGCAGAGGACCTGGGTTCAGTTCCCTGCACCTACATGGCAGCTCACAATCATCTATATCTCCAGTTTCAGGGGCTCTGGTGACCTCTTCTGGCCTCCATGGGCACTAGGTGGCACCATGTGGCACACACACATACAGGCAAAACATTCATATACATAAAGTAAAATTAATAAATCCTTTTTAAAAAATTAAGATGGAGAACTGAGGAAAATACCTGATGTTGATGATTGGCATCCACAAGCATGCACACTCACATACATGTACACACACAAAGACATGTACATTAAGATTTTAAAGGGGCTGGAGAGATGGCTCAGTCATTAAGAGCACTGACTGCTCTTGCAGAGGACCCAGGTTCAGTGCTCAGCACCCACATGGCAGCCAACAACCATCTGTAATTTCAGTTCCAGAGGATTTGAAACCCTCTACTGGTCTCTGTGGGCACTGTATGGCGTGGATGCACTTACATATATGCAGGTAATATACTCATATCTAAAAATAAGTCTTTAAAAGGTGGGCAAGGTGGTGCAGAACTTTAATCCCAGTACTTGGGAGGCAGAAACAGGCAGATCTCTGTGAGATCAAGGCCAGCCTGGACTACATAGTGAGTTCCAGGCCAGCTGGGGCTACATGGAAACCCTGTCTCAAAAAGACCTAAAATAAAATAAAGTTTTAAAAATCCTCAATAAGATACAAAGTTCAATAGAATTATTCTTAAGTACACAGAGGTTCTGTTATGGAACACGACTCGAGGTTTCACAGTAATAATTATGTATGTTGAAAACTCACTGTTTAGAGAGAATGGAGAAGGCATTGGGGATGTAGCTGAGAGTGGGGGTGCAGCTGGGAGAGGCAGTGTCCCTCACATCCTTCCGAGATGGGTCAAGAGCTATGGTTGAACCTGAAAGAAAGATTCAACTAGCAAGAATAGTATCATTTAGACAGGCAAATGTAAGTATCAAAACAGACTGGGGAGTACTGTCTTTAGAAAGGACAGGGTAGGGCTACTGTATCTATAAGCTTCTAATGCCATATTATTCAATCGCTTATTTACCTGTGGCTAAAAAGATTCAGAGCCTGTGAGATGGCTCAACAGGTGATGGCACCTGCAGCTAAGCCTGAAAACCTGAGTGGAAGGAGAGAACAGAATCCTGCAGGCTGTCCTTTGACTACATGTGCCCCATGGTATGTGTCTTCCTGCCTGCATAAATGAATGAAATTTAAAAAGCAGATTCAAAATACAAGAATCTCCAAAGAAAACCTATTCTGACATGACTTCACATAGTGCAGGTACAGGCTCCTTGGAGGACCTCAGGATGATGTAACCTCCCAGCCAACTAGGTGGCTCAACATCCCAATGTCAGTGCTGAGCCCTGGCCCAAGGCTGCGCATGCTCCCACAGGCACATGCTCGTGCAACCCCACCCCCACCCCCCCACCCCCGCACGCATGAGCATCTCACAACAGCTCAACAGGACAGAACATGAAGGCCACCCCCAATGCTCTGGGTGGCTGTGGACTCGCCCACCTTTTTCCCAGAAGGTGGCACTCCCTCTGTCCCTCCAGTGTGAAAACCACCCATGATTTTAAACCGAGGCAAATACACACCAGGAGCTTGTTTATCAAGTTCCCAAAAACACAAGTATGACCAGTTATATGATTCAAGGATTTATTAAGTCATACATGCAAAACATACTGCTAATTGCATTAGCAAAAGATCAATGTAAAAACACTCCACAATTCTGCAACTGTCAATTTAAAAAATTTTGTTCTAGTGGTTGAAAGGTCCGACAGGCTGTTCTTGCCAGTGAGTTAGGGAGTACAGAACATCGTTAGCAGAGCGCTGACAGAACCACAGACCCACGTTAGGCAAAGCAGGACAGGAAGCTCTCGGCCCAGGGGGAGGTGAGGAGGGGCAGTACTAGTCATGTGACAGTGTTGGTACTCTGGCAAGACAGTGATGTTAAGGAGACTTTTAGTTTTAAGAATATCTAAAATAGTTTAAAAACTGTAAAGCTGCAACACATGACTTTTACACCTAGGTACTAGAAAACTAAGGAAAGCGTTTACTAGCTTCGAATAAAGTAATGGGAAAACAGGAATGCACTTTAACTAATCAACCAAAAAAAAAGAAAGAAAGAAAGAAAGAAAGAAAGAAAGAAAGAAAGAAAGAAAGAAAGAAAGAAAGAACCTCTAATGCATTATCAGAAAGATCTCAGAGCACGAGGAGGCAGCATATTGCTCATTAAGAAGGGGTCTAGAAGGGAAGCACTACATTAGCAACCGTGGGAATGAGCAGCTCAAAGAAGAGTCCAATGCCCAATGTGCGGAGGGGCGCTAAGTGTGGGGAGAGGACAAGCTCAGGGAAAGACACTGAGAAGACGACCTTTCTTCCGAGTCTACTGTGTTTGACAGAAAATTAACCCTTAAAAATCTTTACCCGTGACACTTTTATTCAGTTAATTATTCCATGTACAATGTAGTGTAATCTCCACTTCGTTATTAGTCAAAATACTGTCTTCATCCTTTGATCGTGTCGTGTCTTGCACACTCCACCTAGCACACCCACGACTAGGAACAGAATACTTCATTAGAGGGAGCACAGGAACGAGAGTTCTGTTCAAAGTCTCCGAAAAAGCTAGCCAACTGCTACTTTAAAAAACTCACTAAGAAATCAAAGAGACTGATCCAGAGAACTGAGCTGTTACACTCATTCCATTGTGATGTACAGTACAAAGTTATGTAATGAACATGGGCTGATAAGTTACATGGCAATGTGTCATTAAGGAGGCTGTGCTGCTTCAGGCGCTCTGAGAACTACTTGGGAAGGGTCTGCACCCGCACTCCAGAAGCTGCAGTCTTCTTAAAGACAAGAGTCTTTCAGCAGTTTAGTGCTGGAGTATCTCAGCACAATGAAACTTAGTTCACAAAGTATTTTGGCAACTCTTAATCTGAGCAAGAATAGGGGATTTTGAAAAATAAGGCTTTAAGAAGGCTTGTCATTTTAGGGCTAAATTTTAATAGAATGTAAGTTTGAACTCTTAAAACAAAACCTTAAAATTATCGATTGGTTCATTGGTTTAAAATGGTTTTATGGAAAAATTAATCTGTAACAAAAACTTGGCATTGAATGCGAAGGCTCCACTGTTTTTGAGCAAAGCATACAAAGGTTCCGGGGACAGGACCAAGATGAGGGCTCAGACATTTACAACAGCAGGCATTTTCTCTTCCTCTTCTTGACAGGAGGTGGACAGAGGACTGCTCGGATGGCTTCATCAAACACTGTCTTGAGGCCTCGCTGTGTGAGTGCTGAGCACTCCAGGTATTTTACAGCACCTAGGACAAACAGCCACAGGGCAATGTATACGCAGGAACTTCTCACAGCAGCAAGAGGCAGCTCCCCAAGAGGCAGCTCCCCTGGGCCTGAGCACTCCCAACCCACACTAACACTAAGGCCTGGGAGGGGCTGGCTCAGGGTTCCCCAAAGCAAAGAAGATCCAGAGTAGACAAACTTCCCAAGAATTGCAAAGCAGACACAGGAATCGGGGGCTTCATACCAATCTCCTTGGCCATGGCTAGCCCCTGCGGGTAGGTGATAGGAGTTAGCTTCTTCTCCTTCAGCTTCTCGATTGTGTCTTTGTCATCCCTGAGATCAAGCTTCGTCCCCACAAGGATGATGGGAGTGTTGGGACAGTGGTGCCGCACTTCTGGATACCACTAGATGTGAAGAAAGGAACAACACCTTGCTACTCTCCACAGGCTTCCCTTGCCCATTACATGCATCAGTTAAAACCACCAGCTCTCCTTAGCCACAGCTGACCCACAAAGGTTTCCAACTTCCCTCAAGCCTTAAAGAGCCTAGAGTACCCTGGCCAGCACCCCCTAAGATGCAGGAAGACACAGCAGACTCTACCTGCCAAGAACAGGAGAAAGAAAAGGGCCCAAGGGAGAGGAAGGCAGAATGGAAGGTACCACAAAAGGAAATCACTGTTTTGGGGAAAGTACTTTTTTTTTTTTTTTAAATATTTTATTTTTATTTTATGTATGAGTGTATTGCCTGCATGTATGTGAGTGCACCTGTGTCATGCAATGTCCACAGAGGTCAGAAGAGGGCATCAG